CGGAAGGAAGTTGGAATCCCCGCGGTGGCACAAACAAAGTGGGTCGGGAATCGTTTTGAGTTGCTCGCCACTAGCCCTCTTTTCACGTGGTCGCACGTGGTCTGATATATTAATAGAATATGAAGGTACATAATCAGAAATTATATTGGTAATTATTATTTATCAAGACATGTCAAAAATAAGAATATATTTTGCGGCAGAGTAAGGGTTCTCTATTTAGCTACACGTGTATTGTTGGGAATCAGAGTGCGAAACAGGTCGCAGAATCGATTTACTCCGAGTCACATAAATTGACTGATAAAATAAAGTGGAGTCCCAAGCGGTTCGAAACCCCGACCGCAAAAAGCTGGCCATCAACACCAGAGTAGGGGATGGCCCGGACAAAAACGAGCATTGTTACATGGAGGCCAGATTCGACGGGATGGGTCGTCCCGCTTTAGACGCCAGAAACGCGCGTAACTGGACGCAGACGTGGCTAACTGCATTAGCTCCCGTTCTCGTCGAGAGCATGGGGTCCTTTGAGGGTGGCTGGTGGCAGGCCGAATACCAATCAGTTATGTCAATTGGCCCCAACAAAGTAATGAATGGTAATTGCGAACCGCCGCTCGGTCGCACGTCCGTTCGTCTCACACGGTAGCGTTTTGCGTCCCCTTCCACGGGGCGCAGGATTTCCATCAACCCGTGCGCTCCCTACCCCTTTCCATCCGTCACGAGCCGAGACTCTCATCGATTTTAAATCGTCTAATCGGATTCTGTCGCGAGCCAAAGGGCACCCGGTAATCACCTACGGATCCAGCGAAACTGGGAAAAGTTTCCCTGCCGACTGGACTCGCGTTCCCGTTCCCTTTTTTTTGCCTCGACTAGACTGAACGTTTTATTCCGTTGGAAAACTCGTTTAAATATCGGTTAGCGCAGTGACTGGTCACGAATGTCCTGATATAGAGTCTAAAGTACGACGTACGGGGAACCGCTTTTGGGGGACTTCATGAAAACGTAGAAATTAGGAATGTCGGCTGAATCAATCCTTCGAGGCCGTTTATTACTCGCGTAGAAAATGCACAGCTTTCAACGCTGATCGATACATCCAGCGACAGGGTGTGGTTTAATTTAGTTTGACAAGCTGATAATACGACATTCGTTATCCTCTTACATGCTTTTCTCCGAAAGCTGGAACAACGTAATACAATACCCTGCGGGAGGATATCCTTGTAATTATCTCGATATCTGTACGTGAATTAATTAGATAGCCATAGCCGTATCGATTCGAATCTATCCAATTCCGTATCATTTGATGCTACCGAATTACCATACGTGCGAAGGTGGAATATACAACTTAACCAATGACCGTGTATCCATTGCAGATAACTTTTAATAGCCGCTACAAATTTCATGCACATTTTCATTGAATCATTGCGTCCAATTTTGCATGAACTGCATAATAATAATTCACATCGACCGGAGAGAAATCTATAACAGGAGTTAAAACCCTCTGGAAGAAAGACGGGGCTAGCCGTGTTATTTTCGCATCGCACCCCATACGTACTATGTACATATGTACTCTCACAGAGCAGGATGGCGGAAATACGACAGAAGCCGTGACCGTTTCTCTGTCTACCTGTTATCTGCTAATTACACAAGTTAATTACGCATCTTGCACAACCGGCGGTCGCGTGGCTCGTGGAAAAATGGGATTCCACCTGGTTGATTACGTCCGTTGCACCCGTTCCATATGTTTTATTGCGACGGCAGCGCGTGGCGTAGAATATATTTCTTTGGATCCGGTGTCATACGCTAAATGGTTCGCTTTTCCCTCTGTGAAGAGTGACGCTCGAAAAAAGCTCGTCGCGTTAGCGATGTTCCCAAAAATTCACTTTAGAACAGGCATCTCTTCTGAATTCCACATGTCCATGTTAAAATTTACTATTTAATGAAACATTGTTATCATTCAGTGAATATGGAAACAGCGACTGTATATGTATTTCATTAGAGAAATGTAAAAAAATTTATTCTGTGTTAAACGGAGGAATTGTAGTATAGAACGTTTCAAACACTGGTTCGCAGCCAGCTTTAACTAGCGAAATGCTTTAAATTTGTGGTTTCTTATATATTCCTCGCCCTGTTGGAACCCGGCCACGTAATTATGCGGGGGACAGAAATTTATCGTTTAATCGGAGGTAATTAATGTCCACGAGATAATGGGCTAATAATTGTTTAGTAGCTGCATTCGCGCGAGCTGACCGTACGATCTCGTTAATTTTAAACAACGGTTTCATTGCGGCCACGGCGTGCGGTTTTTCTCTCGGGAACTTTTTCCGTTAGGCCGTCACGAGCGTTCAGGATGACCATCGGTGATTGCTTTCGGGGAATTTCGATTTTGCGCACGTACAGAAAAAAAACGAGCCTCCGATGAATCT